TTTTTTTCCAAATATAATGTTAATGATATTGTTTTTACAACATAATTGGTAGCTTTAGTTGAATTCACTCTTCCTCAAATGTTTGGTTGACCTTTATGATGGTTTTTTGGTGTATTGAAATTATTTACAATTTTGTCAGAATATTTCATCTTTTTGTGCTGCCATTAACCATTTTATTGGAGGGATTCATTATTTGTTGGTCAGTTAAATCTGTTAATAATGGCCCTTGAAGTTTTGGTTTAGTATGTATCATAAAAGCCTTTTAACTTGGGACAATGTTTTTTTAATTACTTATTTGAATAGGGATCCATATGGTATTTGTGAAAAAGTGGAAGCAAGTAATTCTTAAGTACATAACTGGGGTTAAAGCCTTCCGGCGATGTGATAAAGAATGCTGCTTGCAACAATGGTGACACAGGTTGTGTCCCAAATGAACAGAGCAAACATTACTCTTCCCTTTTCCAAGCAGAATGGTCTGATCTACTGTTAAATGCAGCACTTTGGTCTAAAAGGTGTAAAATTGAGCTATCGGGAGCATCTAGTCAAAGCTAGGGTAACACAAAATCATTATAGGTAATATTAGAGGTTTTGAGGTCTCCGAATAATGTTTTTTCCACACAGATATGGCTGTAATGATGGCATGACCTCAAATAGCAATAAAAAGACATTTAAGAACATGCTTAGTGCTGTGCTTTTTTTCTTCTTTAACACAACTGTCATTACAGTGTTTTTACTGCTCTGCTGTGACATATTTTTGATGCTATGCTATGTTTGACAAATTTCTTCAGTCCTTGTGCCGACTAAGGATGGGCAACGCACGCCTGCCTGAAGACATCAATTTCAGGGGCCTCTAAACTGACAAGCTCGTTGTTTGAGAAGTGCCAGGAAGACGAATGTTTTCAAGCACCCTGCAGCGAACGGTGCATCATGGACATCATTTTGCCCTAGATGATCAACCATCATATGTTTGACCATCGGGCAATATATCTGAGCCGCTCGAATGGGGACAATGGGGGCTTTGCTTCCGGACTCTCTGTTTGAGGAGAACTCTGCATTTTGTATCCTTCGCTTTTACCATGACATCAGTAGTTCTCAGTAATGAGCAATGTTCATCCGGGCTACAATGTAGAGCACAGAAGAGGCCGTTGCCAGTGAGTGACTGACATAACACTGCTGATGGAGTCCTGAACGAGAGGACTCTGTGAAAGAGTGTGTGTATATATGTAATGAGGAATAGTGTGTATATCTAACTTAATTCTGCATGTATGCATCTTGTCAAAAGGATTTTCAATAACTATGAATGCTTGGCTGAACACATCTTATCTTTGTAATGTGAGTAGCAAGGTAAAGCTCCTCACGGAGACAAAGCTCATTTATCTGATTTGAAGATACGATAGGTTGACTGTTGGAGATACTGCAGCAATGTTACGTCAAAAAAAAAAAAAGAAAGAAAGAAAAAAAAGTATACAACAGTGTTGGACCATCTGTACTTTCCTATAGAGGCAAACTCGGCCCAGGAGGTGGAAATGACTCATTCCCTCCTCCCGTCCTGCACACATTAGACAACATATATGCATGGAAGGTATATTTATTGGATCAATCTATTGTGAACTAGACTATTAATGAAGTATTTGTGAAAAAAGGAAAATGGACAGCATCTATTTTTCCGCTATATGCTCTTCCTAACTGAGAATGTAGCATTCTTAGTGTTGAATTGCATGATTTTTTTCATTGTTATAGGGTCAGAATTAAAGCCAGAATGAAAGTCCTTATCTGCAGTATTACGGTATTTTTTTCCTCCCATGTGCTATCTCAGCTATTTTTAGATTTTTTTACCCACTGAGCAATTTAACATTCTAAGTGTATTTTTCATATGAAAATATGCACGAGCCCTTGAATATATTAGTAATAGTAAATATAAAACGTATATCAACAAAAATGAGTAATTGGTTCAGATGTCCTTAAATGACTAAATAAAATGTCAACATTGAGTCAGATGCAGATTTTGACTCTGCTGAATATGGAAATAATCCCATACCAATCAAAATATTATGATGCTTATCAAGGGTTATTCTCATTGATATATGTATGAAGTATGGTTTTGCAGCAGCCCATTTCTTGTGTGTTGAAGCAAACTAATGTCTGAGTTGCTGCTACGACATTACAAACTGAGGCTGGAGCAGCAAATTCATAGCACACCCACTGATGTACTCATAGCAGTACCCACGCGATAGGAAATTATTTGACAGCGGGGCAAGCAGAGAGGATGCTGTCTTGGACTATTTTTGTTATCTGTGTCTCAGATATTTGAAATATTTGCACTATACCTTGTCCACATGAAATGACATGCAGTGCATTAGTTACATAACCATTCTAATCTTAGCCTTTTCTCAGTCAGTCTGACACTGCTTTTGTTTGGCATAGAAACTTCTGAAGTATAGACAAAAGAATATTTTTCATGAAATCCAACTATTTTTGGAAGACCCCTATCCCTTACATTGTTTTCTACCTAAGTCCTGTCATACCTCACACTCACTTTTCTTGGCACTCATTCTTTGAAGTCCATGGACCAAAGACCGAAACCTTTTAATGGGAGTCTGTTTGAAGCCTCATCGTGTTGCAGGAATTTTGAGTATGAACAGTCACAAAAACCTCTCACATCTCAGTCTCCATCATCTTTTTCACACAGATGATTAGGTGTGCTGAGGCCAGAACGTGGGGTGACTGAATCATAAAATGACCTAAATGAAAGAATTGATTGGTTTCGCTATCATGATGAGTGTGAAACGTGTGTCTTGATGCCTCTGACTCTGATCTATGAGGATCCTTCTCAAGCTTGCTTGTGATTAACAAACACATTGTTCTGACAGCTGCTTTGTGGGGCTGACACTGAGTGGCTGCATTACTTTGAACAGATCTGATTGGCTTACATGAGTCGGTGTGCGAGACGAATCAGATTAGAGATGGATGTCATGGTGAAACACTGGATTTGGAACCTGAATCTACCTTATTGTGCTTCACAGAAATAACAGTAATGGGGTCATTTGGGACCGTTGAACGTCTCAGAAATTGTTTATAGATTTATGTTTTTGAGACACTGAATCCAAACCTGCAGCTTCCCATTTTGGAATAAATTTTGGGACTAAAAAACAGATTAATATGAAAATATGTTTCAGCCCCCTCGTAACCTTGAATTTAAATGAGTAATTTTGGAAAATGGAAGGATAGTTGGTCATTTAAAGATAGTGTGAATACAGTTAAAATATTGTTTTCCTGGCATTTAACAGAAAATCAATCCCCAAAACAATTGATATTGGTAATTGGTAGTCTGTAACTAGTTGTGGTCATTCATTCATGACTTATCATTCATTAAGTAAATGCATTTAAAAAGACCTTTCGAAGTCGTGGAGGAATATTGAACAGAGTGTGTGACATTTGCAGCCTTCTGAGAGCCAGACTGCTCTCCACTTTGATCAGCCTTCATTATGCGGCAAACTGAGACTGACCTATCATGAAAGCTTAGGCGTGCTGTGCTCCAGCTTCCAAAACTACAAACACAAAAGTGTTTTTAAAGAGCAGGTTGGGGAAAAAATGTTAATTAGGAACTCCTCTTTGAAGGAAAAATACTACCATACATTTTATTGATCGACTAACACTAATCAAACTTCAGTTTTGCTCCTCCTTAACAACAGTTTTCCGTAGAAGTGTTATCTTTCATTGGTGCTCTTTGTTAGAAATGTATTCTTGTCATTCATGCCATGGCTCGATTTCATGCTTGTTTTTTTATTTTTCATGTTCACAATGAATTAGCATTTTATACTTGCATTAGTATTCCTTTTTCTGACAACTAACATTTGCTTCATAGATTGTGTATCTGCTATGAACATCTCTGAAGGTCAGCAGTCCTTAATCACGCTGGGATGCATTATCTGGGATTCACCTTTATTGAAAATTATTGCATTAAACAACAAAGGTAGCATATTGCCAGCATTTTACTGCTTGATAAATCCCATGAAAAGGTGGTAAAAGATGTTTGAGCAATTGACAACACACGTTTTGGGCCCACTGGAAAGCAAACCATGCTTATGCACCTGGATCAAGATGACTTTCTTGAATATTGAAAATATAAGCTGTCAGAAAACCATTTTATCTTAAAATGTCAGCAGACACAAATCCATGACCTCTAGTACAACATTTTTTTAAAGTTAAATGTTCACAGCTCTTCAGCATGGTATCAGTATTAGCCATTTTACTTTGTGTCACCCATGGGAATTGTGCTGTGTAAGAATCTAGCTCTGCTAAGGCACTAGTAACCTTCAAGTGATGTGGGCCTCTGTCTGCTGCTTACTGGCATATTGCAACATGCAATGTCTGAAAGACTTGTCTCTCTCCTCTAGTTTTCGTCTGTGTGCTCCTTCCTGCAGCCGCTTGTGTCATCCTCCGACATGTTCCCTGTGCCCTCTCCTTCCTTGTCATCTCCCTCTCTCCTTCCGTGTCTCAGCGTGTCTGCTGCCTTGTGTGGTGCTGCAGGCTCGCTGCCTGATGTAATTTATGCTATCTCCTTTACTAGTGTGAGAGGAGAGCGTCCTGAAGCCAACACTCTTCATGCAGAGTGCTCCTGTGGGAGGCTCCGAACCAACACTGACTGAGCTATGCCCTTTTCCTCCCCTTTCAATATCATTTTGCACCCATTTCAGTGACCGTGCATGCAGAAAAATGATGCTTAATCTGCATGGAGGGGCAGGATAATTATAGCTTCCGCTTAGTAGCTGTCAACTCTACAGGAAATTGGATCTGATGTCACTGCAGGTAGTGACATCAGCTCAGGACACAGGACTGTATGTTGTCTGTAGGAGGTGATATCTTTTGCTCACAGATCTTGACTTTAATCCAGTCTGTAAGCAGTACTGACTTTCAGTGACTCTGAACATGTCACGTTTGATTTTTTTTTTGGATCAAGAAACAGATTTGATGTTAACCAAATATGCTTCTGTATGGTTGCAGGACTGTAATCCATTTCTATGACAACGGAGAACGCTTTGGCTGGGGACATAAAGACGGCAATGGAGGGTGACGCCAGGAGAGCCAATCAGGTGGGAGCATTGCAGAGCTTGCTGCAGCTGTATATCATTTTACTCAGGCCTCTCAATCACTCTGGCCTTCCAGCTTTCTGTTTTATATGCAAGGCAGCTAGCCCTTCCTGTCAGTGCCAATAACTTAACATCTTAGAGCAGCAGGTCTGGCTACATTCATCCAAATGAGTATTGCTTCCTATGTTGAAAGGCTGGGGTTAATTATTTTGTTACACAAACAAATTATGTCTAATATAAAGCAAATATTTACTACAAAATAAAGGGATGTACTTTCATGTTCGCATATTCACAAAAAACCTTTCTATCCTAGGTTCCGGACGACCAAACAGAAATGGACGATAGCTCTGAGAAGACCCCCAGCAAAGCCTCCAAATCCCCCCAGAAAAGTTCCAAACGGCTGAAGACTGTCCCTGTCAAAGTCACTCTACTCGACGGCTCAGACTATGAGACTGCAGTTGAGGTATGGTCCCTAATTCCCCTTAAGACTTTATTCAGTAACTGTCCAGACCTTTCAAATTGCATTTAATGGTATTTTTTCGATAATATTTTATTTACAGATTAAAAAACAAGACAAAACCAGATAAAATCCATGACATTTTATTTCTGATGTCTCAAATCTTACATTAAACCCTGAGCATGAGCAGACCACATTACTTAATAAAGTAATGTGGGAGCTGTGGGAGTAAAAGGGAGCTGTGGTATAAGACAGGATTGCAGGATATGCAGTTGAACTTGAAATATATTTTATTTTTTTGTATCAGACAGTCAGTTCACTTTTTATCTGTGTGTGCATCGTCAGGAAAACTTCTACTGCAAACCTGACCTGCTCCTTGGACTTTCAATTAAAGATAAGAATCAACCGATATAAAAGCTCTGCCAACTGACGATGGATTATCTTAAAATATCAAGAAAAATTGGGAATGTATTAATCTATTAGAACCTCAGCAGATGGGGCCGCTTATCTATTAGAAATAAAAGTACTGTAGTTTGACCCTAAAAGATGCAGTGGTTACATTCATGCTAAAAGATTTCCTAGCTGCTGTGACAGTCCCTTTGGATGAACTCATACTATTTAACAAAAAAAGTTTAGTTTTAGTTTTCTTGTCCGAATAACTCACTAGGTGGGTACTTAGACAAGTGTCAAGAGTGCATGAAGCTAAAGCAAAAGGAAAAAGAATTAACTATTGTAGTTTGCTGAAACTTTTTAATGCTGTTGTTATACCAACCTGGCATTATTTTCTGATCCCTGTTCCTTATTTACCAGTTCAGATCTCCTGGGCTCCATGATTTCGTGTTTTTGTCTTGGATCAGGGCAAGTTTTTTATATTTCTGATTGTTTGACTACTAGTTTTTTCTATTTGGGACTTTGCAGTTCTCAGAGGAATTATTTTGATGTTTTAAAATTCTCACAGCTGTGACCAAAACTGCAAAAATAAGGGAAACTGATGTACAGCACATAACTTCCTTTTTCTTGCCCTACTTGGTTAAATGCCGGACTATTAGCTATTTTGCAAATATACAGAAACATTATTAGAGAATATGACGCCAAATCTGGCTCTTATTCTGCATGTTTTGATTGTATATTCTGTCAGTGTTTAAGAAGCTGGTGTGTAGCACGCATACATAAAGAGACACACACTTGAGTAGGGCATGAAAATACACGTTACTGTATTAGAAAGGCAGATCAGAGAGGAAAGAGACGCATGGAGGTAGGTGAGACATACCCTGCAATGTGGGGGATGGAAGACTCCAGCGAGAAATCCTCAGCTTTCATAAATCGTGACTCTTGAGCCCTTTGTGTTTGTAAACAAACGGATGGAGCTCGGTAGATCCCCACTGCTCTTAGTTTATTTGAATTTCACAGTAGGCCGCGCTTTAATGGCGGCAGAGCCGTTGGGAAAATGAATCTGCTCCTTTCACCGAATCAAATTCCGAAGCACATCAGAGTGGGTGTTTCACACCAGTGGGAGATCCTGAGCACGTCTTACAGAACTGCCTTTATTCACATTCAATGCAACACTGGAGCCCTATTCGCCCCTGCTGCGATGATGGACTGTGATGGGGTTGGAAATGATCTTTCTGCCCCCACAGCCTGCCTCATGTCAAGTCTACGGTGGTGGTTTAGTGACACCCAGTTGACCTTGCACAGTGAGTGAGCATCACATGACGCATACGTTTTCTTTCAACCCAATCCCCATATTTCTTTCTCTTTTAGTTAAATGCATGCTTACACACACCCCCACACGTGTTTGCTCTGGTCCTCTGGGTATGACACTGAAGGTAGCAGGCTTTGGCAGGAAATCCATACAGATGACAGATTAATGCTCTTAAGTTTGACTGGGGAGAAAATAGAATAAGAGAGGGAAAGACGAACGTTAAAAGATGAAGTGGAGCAAGAGAGCGAGCGGATGAAGAAAATAAGGGCTTCGTGCATGTATGGAATGCCAGCATGGGCGGAATGACAAATGCAGGGGAATCATTACTTTAATTAGATCTGTAATGTCTACGGAGCAATGACGCTGAGAACGGGAAGCAGCTTTAACCTCATATCGATGTTTAGCTCATGACCTCACAGATATCGACACTGACCAGTGCAGTTACCGTGGATGGATATTCCTTAACCCAGGGGCCATGCTGTTCAAGAAGAACTCCAGATTATATGTCTGTTGGCTATTTTTGTTTGGGCAGGGAAATGTGATGAATACATTAAACAATCTTCGATTTAAAAAAAAGTTTGTGATTGCAAAGAAAAAAGAAAATTGACAAAAGTGTTAAATCTACACTGGTTCACTGGTTAGGATAGAATGGGATAATGCCACTGAGACCAAATTCTGCCTCCTTTGAAAGATTTGTTTATATTAGTCAGTAAAAAAACTGTCAGTTTCTGAGAGCCAATATGCATTTGTATCCAAACCGCTCTTCACAGAGCTTGGCTTTCTGAATTATTCAGTATGCTCAGTGTTTTGCTTGATACAACTTCAGAAAGTATTATTGCAAGTATTTGTGTCTGTTTGATTTTTTATGCTGAATATTTCTAGAAATTGCTTTTTATTGTTAGCTAGCACAGCAAAGGCACAAACTTAAAATTCCCATGTAAAGTAGGTTATTTTTGCTGTGTGTAATTGACTCAAAGCCAGGATGCTTATTCAGTTTAGAACATGGCAGAGAGATTTGGGATGTATAGTTATAGATTCGGGATGTACTTGATCACAGAGATCCAATCTTATACAGATGATGTGATTATACTGTATTTTAGCTGCTGCAGATGTTTTGCTTGAAGTAGATTTACATTTTTTTTTTTTCATCTTAGAGCTCAGTTTTAAAGGATTGTGTTTAAACACCTGCTTTGAAGGACATTTAGAGAGTATATGAGCAATGTCTTCCCAGAAGTGCTCAGTTGAATGCATTACCAGAAGAAAAGAAGATCCTGATCTACAGCATTCATTATACATTTATGACTCTGTCGTAGCCTACAGTGTTTTCTCATGCCACAGGCAAGTCATTTTTATACAATTTCCCACTACTAGATCTTAAAAAGTGAACAATCTCTTCAAAGGAAAGGATTTTGAGATTTTTTCCTTTTTCATTTTGCCATTTGATGGCCAAACCCGATACATCTTAATGAAACACCCCCAGGCTAAAGACACCTGAGAGCACAGGTCAGCACAGCATAAAGGCCACTAACAGCCTCACCAGTTACAAGAGAGTGAAAGCATTTTAAAGCTCGCTGATTCGTCAGTAGATTTAATTAAAAATTAAGAGTTTACGTGATTGAATTAAAACCAAGCCTTTAAAAACCTCTTCTAATTCTTGCACTCTTTGTTCAATGTTCCAGTAAAACAGCCCGGTAATTTTAATTCTGTAGCAGAATTAAACATAACACGTAGCAGATTGTCACCGACAGTTTGGTTTTGTACTTATAGGAATACTAAAATTTGAACTTAAAGCTACTGATTAATAAAAATGTATTCAGCAGATTTCTTACTTTGACAATGAGATGAAATTAAATATTGTCTTTTTTTGTTGTCGCACACATTTTAAGTAATATTTTCTCACAACAATTTTTTTTTTTTTCAATATCTGATTCCACCATTCTATTTTTCTCCTCACATTATTTATTGTGCAGAGTTTAATAGATTAAATTGATTTCTCCTTAGCTGACTGTCTGTCCTAATCTTGTTTGCATGGGCAAAGTAATACACAGTAGATTCCTAGGATAATGCCAAATGGCTGCTAACAGATTCAGATGACAGAACTAGTGATAGAAATGTGATTTGATCCAGTTGGGATGATGACAAAATCTTATCAACAATGTCTGAATGGGTTTGCTATGCTTTGGGGACCTCGTGAAATGTGTGCTTCATTTTCATTTTATGGAATACATGCAACACTTTCAGTTGAAAAAAAAAATCTTGCATCCTCTTAATCAGCAGTATTCAAAATGTTTCACACGTGACAGCCTCTGTGCTGCAGGATCGAAATCATTATTTATTTGCTTGACAGAGAGACGGATTACTATGTCATGCTTAATTAATTACCCTTCTTCCTCATTTTTAAAAGTTATGCTGACCTTAACGGCCAGCTTTTCTCACAAGAGATGAACACAGCTTTATGATGGCCTTGTGGTAACCAGAGATAGTGAGTGTGTGAGAGGGCATACACATATACAGAAGGGACCTATTACTTCTGTTTCCATGGTAACAGCTGCTTAGTTGCTTTGTCGCTAGAAGAGCCAGGTCTCCCTTGGAGATGAATCTGGTGTTCGTGTGTGTGCGTGTGTGTGTGTGTGTGTGTGTGTTTGTGTGTACGTGGGTTTCTGTGGACAGAGCACTTTGCCAGGACTGCCTGCACAACCCTTACAGGCCTTGATTTCAGCCCTTAAGGGATAGATGGGAAATAGGTGTGGTCTGTCGAAATGCCACAGATGCAAAATGCTGTTCTTGCCCTTACATAGACATAAAGAGGGCTCAGTAGCTCCTCCTACTCAGCAGCAGGGAGGACAGACCTAAAGCATCTCTCAGACCACAGCAAAACTGCATTTTCATGTCACAGATTTCTCTGTCCCTTTGCTGTTATGAGTAGTAGAACATAGGACATGTAGGATATGTGATGAAATGAAAGAATGGAAATTTAACATCTCCTATACCATCATTAAACTACTTTATCCTCTTTCTTCTTGTGTTTTTGGGCACATATTTAATATTTTTTAATTCTGAATCTGGACTTCTTTTGTATCTCACTTGCTGTGTGATCTTCTAAAAATATGTATATATAATCTACTTGTGTCTGTCTGTATTTGTGTGTTATAGAAATTTGCTAAAGGTCAGACCCTGCTGGACATGGTGTGTGGCCATCTGAACCTGCTGGAGAGGGACTACTTCGGCCTAAGTTTTCTGGACACGGATAACGCCAAAGTCAGATGCACAAAAAACTCTAAAACAAACACACAAAGATGATATTTCACTGACCAATTTAAACAAAAGATGATGTGGTTTTTATACTGAAAATGACACGTTCAAGGTATTCTACTATTTGTTGATGTAATAACAATGGGAACTAAGCTATTAGATCAGCTATTACATAGTGTTTAGAAGAAGGTATAGTTAACATTAAATCAAGCCTGTTTGCTGTAGCTGCTTTTGATAGAATGCTGTTTTTTTGTATTATTTTACAACCTCTAGAGAAAAAGTCAACCTTTCTTTTCAGCTGACCAGCCCACCCCACCTTCTTTTTTCTCCAGTCTTTGGAGCCGTTAGACCCTGATTGCCCTTCTAACACCGATTAACCACTTATAGCTTAACAGTGACATACATGGCCTTTAACATTTCAAAATGTGATTAGGCGGCATGACATTTCAAAGATGGTGCATTCGGTGTACAGTGTAGCATGGAAGTTGTAGGGACTTTACAATGATGGAATAAGCACTAGCTAACATTTATAGCTCAACATTGGTGTTTTCTGTGTTTACAGAAGGCTCTATTAGTATGAACATATTAGACCTTCAAGAAGGGGAATTATTTAGAGAGGGGAGTCACAGTAGCACACTGCTTTAAAGGGCTTTAAAAATATGAATGTGAACAGTTTTTTACATAAATCAAATATCTCAGAGGGGATTGTCTCTTCTCTCTATATCAGAACTGGTTGGATCCCTCCAAAGAGATTAAGAAGCAAATTCGTGGTATGTGCAGAAGACGCACTGTTCACTACAGACCCACACTTTCAGAAGAATCCACAGTTTTACTGCATAGATGTCCTGAGTTAAACAGCCATGTTGGTTATTTGTTCACAGTTGGTTCCTGGATTTTGGGGTTTTCAGTCAAGTTCTATCCTCCAGACCCATCTGTGCTCATTGAAGACATCACTAGGTAGGTTCTACAAGTACAACAAAGAGATAACATTTTTTATTCTATATTTATTTATGTCTGGCTCAATCTGACTTGTTTAAAGTTACTTTGAACACCACATACACACTACTCGATTTAAGATTAGAAACAGGTTTAGAAGCTGTTAAACCGTCAAAATTGTATAAAGTGGTCATGCAACTGGAAACAAAAGTTGATCAAGATCTAGACCCTGAAGGAAGTAATGTAGGGTTTAAAAAATCACACATGGTGGATGTCCTCTTTTTGTGCAACTGCCAGGAATTTTGGCTTTAAAGTTCATATACGCTTGAACTTTAAAGTCAGATCTGACAAAAGCCTTCACCTTCTACCACCTGCTTCATATTTTTATGTTACTGAACTAAATGGCAGCCATATGAATCGATATAATCTGTAACAGCACAAACTTTTTACACCCTTTCATGTTTTTCACATTTCATCAGCTGTCAGATACATCTTAAAAAAGGAGGAATTTTTAAAAGATACAAAGAGCAAGTGGCAGAACTGACCATGCGTCACGTTTCTGAAGTCTTCTGAAGTCTTCTGAGGCATGCAATTGTTTGGAATTTGTGTATAGAATTATAAGGAACTAGCTTGATGTTGTTTAGTTTGTTCTCAATTCTTCTTGTATTTGCTGGTCAAAGTATGTTTAGTTTATTGAGAGCTTGAAAGAAATTTAATTGGAAAAGGTGCTCTTGACATCAGTGCATATGCGTTTTGCTGTCCACCACATAAGTACTTCTGAAGTTCAAGAAAGGATCCTTAATGGCTGCATTTCTTACATTTTACATAAACAAATCTCTCAGATGGACTTTTGTTTTTGGAGGAATCCCTCAAAGCACTTAATCCATTTCTCAGTGCCATTTCAAGGATGCCTCTGTGTATTCTTAGTAGAGCCACAGCATTCCGTGCACTTGACAAATGGTGCAGAGGAGAGATGGATTGACACCAGTGTAAATATGCACTCTTTTTTTTCCTGTTTTCGCAATATCTGTTGTCACATCAAAGCTGTTAGCATCATATTGAGTTCCAGCTGGTAGGTACCCACTTAACAGCTAGGAGCAATTTAACAGCCTGACCAATTTTTCCCAGTGTTGTGCAGACAGACAAGTGGAGACTATTGCAGTGACCCATGCTAGCTTGTAAAAGCTGCGTTTCCTGAATGCATTCTTTGGCTGTTCTCTCCCAGCGTAAGAATGGCGGGACTTAAAATCCTAGACTTCTATAAATTTAAATCAGTTTGTGAGGACCCAAGTTTAATTAATTTCAGTTTTGTTTGCAGACACAAAATGACCTTGTAAAATGTGAGAATTCTGGTTCAGCATTACGTCTCTGTGTGTGACAATGTGATGAAGTGGCGACCTGTTCTGGATGTACTTCCCCCTCCCCTCTTCTCATCCAATGACATCTAGGATATGCTCCTGCCCCACACTGACTCTGCTTGGACTAAGTGTGTATTTCAGCCAAGCAATAACCTAAACAAGGGTTACAAGGAACCTGCGATACTGGACCATGTTCATCACTATAGTTCAGTTTGCAACTGATCGTTCGAATATTGTTGCTCATATCCACTAAGTTAAATCTTAGCATTCCTGCCCCACCCCCCTCTGTGCTTTTCCAGGTACTATTTGTGCCTGCAGCTGAGGGATGACATCCTGTCAGGTCGTCTCCCCTGCTCATTTGTCACTCATGCCCTTCTGGGCTCCTACACTGTCCAAGCTGAACTGGGAGACTATGAGCCTGAGGAACACGGGCCAGACTATGTCAGTGAATTTCACTTTGCCCCGAACCAGACACGTGAGCTAGAGGAGCGAGTGATGGAGCTGCACCATAACTACAGGTCAGGAACAAATATTTAGATTATTACAAATTAATATCATAATTATTATGAGCTTCATGAGCTTTGATCTGAGGACTTAGTATGAAGGACTTAGAGGACTAATTGATCCACTTTGGGACTGCGTCTGCAGGGGAATGAGTCCAGCAGAGGCAGAGATGAACTTCCTTGAAAATGCCAAGAAGCTCTCAATGTATGGGGTTGACCTACATCATGCTAAGGTTAGGAGATAATACTACTTGTATTTTTCTTCTGTCAATGCACTTTTAAACGAATACTTTCCTGTTATAAATAGGATTCAGAGGGAATTGACATAATGCTTGGTGTGAGTGCCAACGGGTTGCTCATCTACCGCGACCGCCTCAGGATCAATCGGTTCGCCTGGCCTAAAATCCTCAAGATCTCCTATAAAAGAAGCAACTTCTACATCAAGATCCGCCCAGGAGAGGTAATAAAACCCATCATTGTCGCTTCTTTTGTACTGGCTTGGTTTAGCCAGAATTTGGTGCACAGTTACTGCATGCTCAAACCCACCAGTACAGCCCTTGGTCACTGGCCGAGGCAAGAGAAACGTAGGATCACCAGGCAAGAGCACACTTCCCATTTCTATTTCATGGGTTCACAGTTGTTAAAATTACACCATTTCCCCCCTTGACTGGTTCCAAGCGACATAAATAGTCATTTCACAGTTTGATGAAAGTGCTACTTCTGAGATTTATCAGCTGCAAACCATGTGACAACAGCCAAAAAGGAATTTTCTGTCCTTATTTATAGCCCTCAGAGATATTGTTCTGAAGATAATGTTGATAGCTCACACTCTCCTTCTCTCATCCTCTATGAGGGTTTTTACTTCCACATTAAGCTTCTTTTAATTTTTCATCCCCCTAAAATTATTACGATTGCCTGTCATTCTTTGGCCTTTAGGATAACTGCAGTGTGCTTTATAGGCATTGTTAAACTGACATTGACTTCTTCTCTGTAAATACCAAGTGCATTTACTTGTTCTGCCCGTCTATTCTTTTAAGTCAGCTGTCACTTGAAATTTGCCCGCTGGGCAGTCATTTCCTTATATTGCTCTTTTATTCCAAACTCCCACCCACAGAATATTTGTGTGTAGCAGTAGTTGGCTTCCTCTTGTGAACGCACCGCTCATGGTCCTTAAAGGCCTGTTATTGCTAATAACCTATTGATTTGAAAGCATTTTCTTCTCTTCACGCCACCAAACATCTGATGGAGTGAGTGCATGAACGACTTATTTATAGGGCGACTATAGAGGGAAAATCTACCTGACATGGCCGCAGGAGATGAGGGTATATACTTCCACGCGTAAACAGAAAAACATTGATTTTTCCATTGCTGCGGAGTAAACACAATTCACCCTGCTGCCATCCATCCATCTTTCCCTGCACTTCGTTTCTTCACTCTCCTTTTTCTTCTTCACCCCCCCGAAACCTCCAACACCTCCACCCCCACCCCCACTTCCTTCCTTCACTACTCAGTATGAGCAGTTTGAGAGCACCATAGGCTTCAAGCTGCCCAACCATCGGGCCTCGAAGCGATTGTGGAAAGTCTGCATTGAGCACCATACCTTCTTCAGGTAGGATGTGATTCTCACAAGTAAACCGTGAGACGCACTCTCTCAGCACGGAGTTTGTTTCACTTTGCATGAACTGGTTGCACTTGGCACGTCAGAGTTATGCCTTCCCTTCAAATGACACTCATGGAGCAGATGTCTTTCTTCGTCACGATTCGAATGTGAAATTTTCTGCAAAGATTTATTGATTCCTGTTATGTCTCTGAAAACAACAAGGGGCTTATGTTTTAAAGTTTGGGAAACTTTTGGCACATCATTGTCACATTATTCTAACCTCTACTTCTAAAACCTTCTTGTTCAATTACAGTCAGTGGTTAACTTCTCAAAAAACAGTTCTGGATACATATGCCTTTATTTCTTGTTGTTTTTCTTCTCCACTGTATGGAATGACTTCTTAATATATAGAAGTTAAACATATAATGTCTTTCCCTGATATCTAATGCCTAACTGTACTGCGGTTAATTCCAGTGTACTTCCTGTTAAACTATTATGAGTCAGGTCATTCCAAATATCTATAGCAGATTTGTATAGATTTAGCTTTTCCACAGGTTGGTTTCCCCTGAGCCACCTCCCAAGGGCTTCCTGGTTATTGGCTCCAAGTTTCGCTACAGTGGACGGACCCAAGCCCAGACCAGACAAGCCAGTGCCCTAATAGACAGGCCGGCCCCGCAATTCGATAGGTCCGTCAGTAAGCGGTACTTGTTGCCTCGAAGCATAGATGGAGGTAGGAAACAAGACTCTTTCAAGGTCCGTGTTGTCTTAGACAGATGTTTTCTGGTGTTAAATGTCACCCTTTCCTCATATTTCCCCAGCCTCAGCTTTAGGTGACAGTATGGACCAGTTGTCCCAACGAAGCTCCAGTGAACGCACCCAGTTCATGTCCAGAGAAGACCTGGACCAAGAGGGCAGCATAGACCTGGACCAGGATAACTACCACTATCATGATCAAGACCAGGATCAATATCCAGATCAAGACGTGGAGCATGAAGGACAAGATCAGAAGCAGACATTTGGCCCCAGCATTTCAACACCCACAAAGACCTTGGAGCTCAAGGTACAAAGAGTAATGTGGATGTATGGGGATGGACTTCCATCCCTGCTCTGATTTCCATAGTTTCCAAGGCTAAAGTTTGGGATCCCGTCTCGAATTAGACGATAAGAATTTCTCATTGGTGCCTATTGAAAAGTTTAAATTAAATCACCCCTCACCTTTTTGCTGACAAAACAGTTAGAACTGTGTTGCCCAACCGAAAAGTAGCTTATTGGAATATAACATTATTAAAAACCTACAGCCCTTTTAGTCCTGAAGTCAACCTTCTTTTTAACCCTTGCGCAAGTTGTCAACTTGCATTTGTGAATTTAAAACAATTTGCGTTGGGCTCTCACATAAACTGGAGTGCCCATCCATCCATAAATTGGATTGTCTATCCATTCATTTTCTATACCTTATTCCAAGTAGTGCTGTGGGGGGCTGAAGCCTATCCCAGCTGGACAGGTAATGGGTTACTAGTTAACACACATGCATACACTGACATAAGCCCTGAAGTCAGAAGAATCATACCAGAACCTTCAAAACACATTTTCTCTCTTGCATGCTTTTTTCATGATGGACAGTAATCACCATTGTTCTTTTTCTTTTCTTGGCCTAACATCTAACATTCTTGCAGAATCATAAAGTTCTCAGTATGAGACATATCTGCTCCCCTTAACACCACTCCTTTGCTAAAGATGACCTTTGTCTAACTCAGCACCCAGCCCTCAAGCAAATCTTTTCTTGCTTTTGCAGTGTTAACACTCTTTGCTAATCTCCGCTCTCTTTCTCCTACATTTCTATCCTCCGACTTGTTCTTTCCTGCAGGGTGAGGAGGCAGGCTCGCCTGTAGACTCTAAGCCAGAGGTATTTTGGCTGTGGCCTCTTTGTGTTTGTCTGTGTGTGGGTTTAAGGTCATGCACCAGGACTGCGTGCTTAAACACAAACCTCCCGTATTGTTTGTCTGAGGAAATGATCTTCAGGATTTTACCTTGTCAGATCCCTGAACAGTGTAACAACTGACCCTCAGTAAGCTTTAAAAGAAGTGTTTGATGCACAGTCATTCAGGTTTTTCATTTAGTTATTGCATTTCAGCTCCCGAAAAAAATAGAAATAGAAATCCCACTAGATGTAAAAAGGCATCAGGAGCTTTGTTAGTCTGTCCTGAACGACAAAAACCTCAGGTCGTTCTTTTCAGTTTCCAGAAAAAGCCTTCTCCTATAGCATTGATTAAAGATTAAAGGAATAAACAGATGGCCCTTAGGTACCGTTGATGATGATCTGTGAATCAATGATTCCCCAGCTGGCAAACCTGATGCTTCAATAGAAGCTAAACTTTTTTTTACCCTGCCACACTAGCTTCGTTAAAAAGTCCCTTGTTTTGTATCAATCCAATATGCAGGCATGTATGTTCATGTTTTGAATGCTGCAGGAAATAATGATGTTATGATGTTGCATTTGTGGTTTTGTAATGTCTTCTCATCAACTCTTTGGATGAAGAAGAACGGGAATAATCCTCTTCCAAATATTTAGTTTAGTCAGTGAATGACTGCATCATTATCATTCGGCTGACAATGAAATGGATTGTCCCAGTCTTCTTGGCAGAGCATTATATGGCTTAAGAGTCCAAAGTGTCTCACCCCCGGTGGTGTCAGCTGTTTGGCTGTCTGCCTTTTTGACTCAACTGCAGCACCTTACCTCTTTGTTCTCTGCACGCATCTGTTCTCCCCTCCCTCAAATTCTCAACCTTCCTGCTTTGCTCGAACCCGCTCACTTCATCTCACTTGCCCCACCTCATCTGTTGGACAAGGAACTGGTCCCCCTTCGACCCAAACAGGAGGTACTGCCTGCTCTCTATTTGGCATGTGTTATGTATGAACCTCAGCAGGTGTTCAGTGTTGTCATCCTCAAATCTGCTTCTGTCAATTAATGTTAGAACACAGACAAAAAATAGAGATTGCATGTGTTTTTAATGTAAAAAATGTTTGATAAAGTCTTTGTTTAATGTCTGGCTATTGATTGGGGGAATAATTAAAGACCTCAAATAGCGGTGGCTTTGTGATTTATCTCTAAGAGTTGGGTGCTCACTAAGACAGGTGTTAATTCACCTGTTATTGTTGATGTCAATTTACTGAAATGTTTTAGAAGAACGGTTATCATTTGTCCCTGTCAGTGTGAGATATTTAAACCTCCAACTGGTTTAGTATTTTTCTGCAGAGCAGCAAAGTAAGAAATACATAAAGATACTCATAGGCCTTGTGATTTAAGTTGACAATGATACCACAAAGTCAATATTAATCTCTGGCTGTCTTAGATTGTCCCTCCTTATACACAGCATTAACTTAAACTGAGATTACTTATAACGGTTGTAACGGGACCTAGAATTAGGAGCATGTTTTGAATTTTTGCTAATTTCTCTCCCTGATGTGTCCTCTGCTGTATGAGTAGCAGTTCTTGGATAAGCCAGAGGATGTGTTACAAAAGCACCAGGCCAGCATCAATGAGCTGAAGAGGGCTTTGAAGCAGCCTAACAGCAAGATGGCCCAGAGGGAGAAGCGCCTCTCCTCAGCTACTCCTCCTGGAGGAACCCCTGAACGGAAATCAGTAAGAATTCGATCATTTTTCTTATACTGACTGCACAACTATTATTTCCTTCAATATCAGGAATTTCCTGCTAAGAGACTCTGAGTTTACGTGATGGTGTCTTGCAAATTTTTCTCCTCAGTCAAATACTTCAAATACTGAATTTATGCTTTTTAAAGGTGAAATGAAACATTATTTTAAAACAAAAAACAAATTGTGATTCTCAAATAGAATCAATCTCCCAAACAGGTTTTCACTGTCATCTGTTCATTCTATTGTATTAATAAAGTTCAGAACTTTTTTTTACATCCAAAATAACAGTCACAAATATAGAAAATGACCTATCTTTTTGTTTAGCTTAGCTTTAAAAAAATATATACTCATGAGAGTTAAAAAGATTTAAAAACACCTGTTACAGTAAATAAATGATCTGAAAAGTGTAGTTTTAATACTTTTCTACGAGTTTAATATCCCTTCAACATTTTGTGAATGTTTTTAACCAAGTTCCATATCATGAATATGGAGGCTTGAGGAGTTGAAATAGACTGACCTATTTTTCAAATTTTTGCCAAACCACAGTGATAGATATCCACAAAGAGTTTACACAGTTCGTTTTTTTACACTGCTATTCACACAACATTTACGTGAGTTTACAAAATGATCATAAATGTAATAGAACTTTTAGCTAGGCTAATTCAACTGTCTACTCTATGTCAACATAGGCAACCAGTGATGGCAAATTGATTGAGAAGCAGGATACTTATGAGGAAACAATGGATTCTCACTCTAAAGGAGAAAAAAATAAAATCATGTCAGAGGGTGATATGTTTGAAGCCACATCTTGGACTGAAGCAATTATGAATAATTGCCAAACATCAAGGGTATCTTCCAAAACTACTCTTGGAACATCTGTAATTACTGGAGCTAACGTGAGAGATAAGAATGAGATGGATGCTCCATTAACAACTAATGGACATTATGATTCTGTGGAAGCAAGGAATGCTTTTCATGAAAACGGATACAGCTCCCCACCTGACAAACTGACAAGAGAAATAAACAAAGATGCAAGATATTACCAGTGTTGGCATCAAGACAGAGTCAAAAACTTTGAAGCTCAAATGGCCAGGGATTCTTTCCTTAAGGGTGACAGGCCCAAAGCCGACAGCGATGCAAGCCATTGTGAGCTTTGGAAAATAAAAGAGTCAAACCTCGCCAGAGAGAAGGATTGCAACAAAACTGGGAGCACACATTCAGAAGTCACCAAAATAGTTCCTCTCAAGCCACAGAGATCAAAGAAGTCTTTGAATAAGGAGAACAAAGATCTTGTAAATCCTCCGATTGTGAGCCAATCTGACAGAGGCACCTCTGGTTCAGATGAAGATGTGCCCATGACGAAGTCCTGCTGTGAATCAAGAAGACGAATGGATGACAGTGCTGTGCTGCAATCTGCTGGGTATCAGCAGCAAGCCCAACTTCACCATCAGATTAAGAATGAATTGTTTGCAAAGCAAGAGCTCAGAGACTACAGGGATACAACGAGAGCAGGCGTTCTACATGAAGACCATTTTCAGGTCACAGCAGAGTTTGGGTCAAAGTTTCCAACAGCTCCCCCGCGCACTCTGCCTCTGAGACCACAATGGTCCCGAGACAGGCCAAACAACATGGACAGTAGCCACATCCACTACAGGAGCCAAGAAACAGCCAAGAGGAAGCAAGCGGTAAACCATGTGCCCCCTAACCTGTTTGTGCATCATCGGAAAGTCAAACATTGCATGAGCTTCAGGCGATGTCGTGCAAATCTTGTTTTTGCCATCAAGAAACAAAAACATTGTGCACACATATACTTCAAAACTCATGTGGCTTTTTTCACGAGAAAGCAAAAGTTCACGTGCCGTCGCATCGCACCATTGACCGACTCAATTCACGTCCATGGCCCCGGGAGCATTTTGCTTTCCCTTGTTTCCTCCGCAAAGCTTGACATTTGCTTGGCCATTTCAGGACGCTGCGGGCCTTTAAGCAAAGTTCCCATTGCTTAAGCTTCAGGCGTCTTCTTTCTCCCACCTTAACTTGTCACCTTAACACCTGGTCTCTCCTTCCAACATCCTCACAGAGTCAAGGTGGCCGCTGTTGCAAGGAGTGCATAACCGTTTCACCATTTTGCTTTAAAAAAAACTCTTTTTTTACATGATTTTGATATATTTTGTGAATGGCTGTGAAGGGCATTGAGACCGAATGTTCAGCATTGGCACCTCTGTAGCAACAGCAAAAAAAATAAAAGGGTGATTTAAAAGTAATCACAGGCTACAGAGCTGCCAAACCTCTTCAGGGCTGAGGCATTCATATGGTGCTTTTCCAAATATGAATACCTCCCCTCTGTAAAGGACTTTGAAAAATCCAGCCTTCCAGTGCATGGCATTACCATTGCACTTCCAGTCATTTCTACTGATCAGCCTGTGAGTTATATTGTATGTGCATGCATGGAACAGCAGGCCTTAAGCGTTACAGAAAATCCTCAAATGTAGGACTTAAGAGAGAATTGTGTGTGGAAAGCTTTAAGTGAAGAACATGTCACATTTGTCTTTTGAAATTATTCTGTCAGCAATGATGTACTCAAAAACAAATTTCATATTAAGAATAAAAGAAAAAACCCTATAGAATCCTAAAATTTAATTTAGTACATATACACATCCTTGATCAGTTTTACATGAATTACTGCCTATTGTTTGTTTTGCTTTTCTGTAGGAGACACCTCCCACACCTGCAATCCACGAGGAACCTCTCAGCGAAGCTTCAGTGAGTCATTCTTCAGCTCCTGTCTTATTTCTTTAACCGCAGCTATAGAAATGGATAAAAAAAAGTCTAAACTGGAATTAACAGAAATACTGTAGGTTTCTGTTTGAGTTTAAGTTCAGTCTGGGATTTTTTCAAAGGGCGAAAGCAACAGAAGCTCAACAAAAAATAACTTGCACTGCAAAAACAACCTTCAAAGTTAATTTGATTTCTACACTTTTTATGATTCAGAAATTAAATAATCGGGGTTTAAAGACTGCATCCAGGCTCTGTGATTTTTCTGTAACTTTAATTTCAAATAGCTCATTCAAGAGGTTAATATACTTTTGTTACTTATGAATATTTGTGAATAGTGCTGTAAATCTTTTTTTAATGTAAATATACACAGTATGCATAAATGATTAGTCTTTTATTTTTTGTAGAGGGATCTATGGGAAAGACGTCTGGGCTCTGTATCTGAAGATGATCAGGACCAGGATGCTCTGTACCTGAAGGAAACGCACCTGGGCATTGAGCGGAAATGTTCCAGCATCACAGTCAGCTCCACGTCCAGCCTGGAGGCTGAGGTCGATTTCACTGTGCTCACAGACCTGCAAACAGGCATGGAGGAGTTTTCCAGAGGCATGTCAGAGCTGGGAGAACGGGATCTCTCCCCCGACCGGGGACTGTGCCTGGGCATCGACCTGCTGCAGGGCCCGCCTGAACCGCCTCCTCCCTCGGTGTCCACTCCTCTGTCCAGAGGAGCCAGCAGCAGTCCTCCAGCCAAACCTGTGCAGCCAGAAGAGGTCCGGCCAGAGGTCAAGCGTCCTGAGGGGCAGGTAGTGCAAAGTTTTCAATTCCAAGTGTTTTCAAACTTTAAAAAAAGCGTTTTTCATGACGAAACTTTTTTAGTTTTAATACTACTAGATTTATTTAGGTAATGATTTATCTTCCACATAGTAGCAATTCAGTCCATCCCCTGAGGGGATTCTTTTAATTGAAAAAAAAAAAGGAAATACTAACATTCAAATACTTTAATAATCATAATCCATTTAAAGTAAAATAATATTTATAGAATACTGACGTGAAATATTTTGCTTTACGTCAATATCGATTTAATGAAATTCCAATCTTGTGAATTGTTTAATATCTCTGCCTTTTCATATTTTAAACTTCAATGAGAGACACCAGCTCTCATACCATCATGCCTCTTTGTACTGCCAAAAAGTGTTAGCAGGCTGCCAAGAAGAACTGTTGATGACTTCATGCAAGTTTTGCTCACAGGCCTCGGTTTGTTTGAGTTTTGTAAATGAACAACGAGCTGATGGGATTTGTGCGGTCTAAATTCGACTTACTTATTCTTTAGGAGTGGATATAGGACAATTCATGCCTTTTTTAAAGATATTTTTTGCAGAATAATTATCAGCCTTAAATGCCTTGAGATATTACGCCTGTATTACTTGTTTCCATAAATTGAAAGATTGTCTGACCATTTCTTTCTTGATATTTAAAAAAAATCTTATTCTGTGTTTAAAAACCTGTTATGTCTCCTCTTAAGCCTGTTGTTCCCAAAAAGCCAAAGAGGTCAGTGCCAGTGTCATCGTCAATAGATAGAGATCAGTCCCACAAAGAGCCCAGTCGGGTTTCTGCTGCACCTCTGAGCAGAGAGGCCAGCGATGTAATGCCCACTCCGGCAGTGAGGAAAACTGACATCCGGACAGATACTCAGCCGAATGGGTCAGAGGTCACCACCACCATTGTGGAGTTCACCGATCAGGTTAGTTTTCAAGACTTGATTTCTATCCATTTATGAAGTTATACGCCAGTCACATCCTAAATGTTTCTATTTCAGGACCACGGTATCACTGGCCTGAGTGACGTTTCTTACTCTGCGAGACAGAATGTATCCCCAGTGAGTACAATCGGGCGGACCTCTCCAAATTTAACTCAACCTGCAGCCGCCTACATCCAGCTCTCAAGAGCTTAAACCTACTTACAAAGACCATAGACATGAACTTGTGCATTTCTGCCTCCACTGAATGTTCTACAATGACCACTGTATGTATTTTGCTCTGCAATAAGCTGTGTTTCTTTGCCTAATGCCCCCAACCCATTCTGCCTCATCAGGTTCACAAAGGCAGTCTTGGAAGAGACTCAGCGGGGTCGCCTATCCTTGTCACTGAAAATGTTACCTCAGCAACCACTCACGTCACAAAGGTAGCCATGCTTAAATAACACTTCCAAAGTGAGCATTTAACAGCCTTCGTAACCCAAGGGCATGCATTAATTTCTTCAAGTTTTTTTCTCGAAGCTTTTAATAGAAAATCAATTTTGTGTTGCAGACGGTGAAAGGCGGATACTCGGAGACGAGGATAGAGAAGAGGATCATAATAACGGGAGATGATGACGTAGATCAGGAGCAGGTGAGGGCTCAACAATCAAGTCCAAACAAGTTAACAGAAAAGGAAAAATGCTAATTGCAGAGGACTGATCAGTTGCATAAAGGTCAAGTACATTAGAAAAATGTAGAGCCAGGCTGAGTCATATTGCTGATATTTGCAGACAAATCGGTAAAAGAGATTCATCACTTTAGCACCAGTCTGAATTTTCTTTTGATTTAACAGAAACTTTAACTGGCACTTAGACAGAGGCTCTAAAGGTTTAAACATTTCCTCTCGTCCTTGCAGGCTCTTGCTATTGCAATACAGGAAGCCAAGCAACAGCATCCAGACATGCAGGTGACCAAGGCGGTTGTTGTCAGGGAAACAGAATCATCCACTGAGGATCGATATGGGGCATCATAGGTGCAGCTAGCATCTCCGCTCTTTGTTATCTCTCCTTTATATTGCCTCTTCTAACAGGCCATGAGCTTCACTGATATTGGCTGCTTGTCCTCTCTGTCTTCTGTGCAGTCTCTGTTTGCTGAGGCGAGAGTGCCCCCCTTTGGAGCAAAAGTGTCAGTACTCCACCTAAAATTGCTACCCACCCTCCCAACTGATAATGTGATAGTGCCAGTGGTGCACTTATTGTGCAACTTTTCACTAAAAAAGGGACTCCTTTCACATTCAAATGTTTTGTTCAGATTCTTCCCTTTTGAAAACATAAAAGCTGCTCAGTGGAACGGTTTCACAGTGAAACTGGAGATATAGCCAACAACATTCATGTCCTTCAGCTGGTTGATGAAAAGCCACCGGACATCCTAACATCTACAACAATTGATAAAAAAAAAAGTCTAACTGAACCCCCCTGCAGTCCTCTCAGGGCCTTGATTTTAAAACCACTTGCTTAAATATTCCTCAGTGGTTCAAGGGAATTAATCTAGAATGGATTTGTTTCGGTACTCTGTTTGCTCATTTGCTACAGAGAAATCCAGGGTTACATGTCATCATGTCACCTATTCCATGCAGAAAGCATCATCTGGAAAATTAAGATTATGAGTTTCTTGTTTTGATGTGTGAATTGGGGAAAAAATTGCTGGAAAAACTTGCTGTGTGTGTTTCCATGGTTGACTAAAATAATCACTGTAATGTAGCTCTATCACTATTAAACCCAAATGGGTTTAGAGAGAGCAGAAGAAATCCTGTGTTTAATTTTCCCTCCTGCATAATCAGTCAGATGAATAAATGAGCTTTGTTCAACTTCATCACACTAACTGATAGGGGTTCACTGATTAGAGAGGAACACACATTGTTTATTCAGCCAGTGTGATCATTATATGTCCCTCATCTGTCTATTAATATTTTTCTTCTGTTCCGTGTGTGACTTTGATGTGTGGGTGGCACGTATGCAAGGTTATGCATTTACTATAAGTGATGTTATGAGATGTTGATACACAGTGTGCCTGTTGTATTCATTCAGAAGTAGTGGCCATGTAGTTTCTGAGCATGCTTATGTTTCAGAATGAGCCTGGTTTCTCTCCTCCCCAAGTCTTTAGATATGCTTTCAGAAATCCGCTGGATGTAAAGCCACTGGCAATTTTGTGCAGTTCATGCATAGAGTAGGCTTACACCCCAGTTGTATCAGTAAATGTAGTACTTGAAATAACACTTGCATGACAATTTCTTAAACGGAGTTAAACGGATAATGAAGAAGGACGACGATGACAGAAAAACAACTGACAAAACAAACAGATGTAAAAGATAAAGAAATCAAAAGCTGACATGTGACTGGAAAAGACACTTATTAAACAATGTTATTTGGAAACCTTGCAAATTTTATATACAATATGTGATCAACATTCTTAATATCAAGACTTTGGTAGATTTATTTACATTTGTTTTCACCCTTTATCACTTATGTCACTTTGGGCCACTGGTGCTGTACAATATATCTGAACATATCAGTTTGCTTTTAACTCAATTCAATATTCTGTTCTATTTACTGATTTTCTGTTTTTTTACTGTTGATTTTTAAGCTACCATGCTGAAATGGTGTTATGTATGAGAACTGTTCCTGCACTCTTTCATGTAAAGTACTTTGTTATAAATGGAAATAGAGTAGGAAATGCAGATTTGAACTTGTAGCTGTGTGGGATTTAGTATATGGATGTTAGAGGGATTCCACATACAACAAACCAGGTAAGATCAATTAGAATTCAAATTGTTAATTGTACAAATGCTGGTTTTGTATGTAATAACTTTATATGAACTAACTCCTTTTGATTACAAGAGTGACAGGGAGTCAAATACATAAACTTGACATGAAAAGGATTCTTCCACATTAAAAAATGAAGTACTACTATTAATGCAAATGTCATATTCTATGTGTAAATTAGTACGTGCAGAACAGATCAAATTAATTTGATTGAAAAAAACAATTATAATGCAAATCATGTCAAGTTTATGTGGATGTTTGGCTTTCAGACACCGAATAAACCTTCCAGTAAATGTTCACCTGTGTAATGTAACTCCTGTTGTATTTCAGATTTTGGTTCCAAATCCTTTAAAGTGAATGTTATTCATGGATGTGTCAAACCGGACGACTGAAGGAAAAAAAAAAATACAACCATGCAAACCTTTGTACTGTTTATTTGGTGCCATTTGGTGGATTGTAGACATGTGAAGTAGTTAATGGTTCTGGGCTTGATGCACACTAGAGGGCACTGGTTGCCCAGAAGAAGCGAGCTTTGTGTCAGCATGAAGCACACCCAGCTGAAGTCCTTCTCACCATTCTTCATTAAGCGGAAAAATGATCCAGACGCTCCTTGGATCAACCTATAAGGACAAACTTCCAATCATAGATCAAGGAACTAATCATGGAAATCTTTCAAATGATAACCAGATCGATCAATTTTCTTCTCTTGGCTGAGACACTGTGTCAAAGTCTGATTGGATGACCGGTGGTTGACCCTTAAACCTCCCCACCTCCACTTCATCTCTGCTGCTCTCCATTGCTTGGTGCGGTGTCTTTGCTGTACATTGTACTTGCATTCCTTCAAAAAAATTAATAAAGACAAGAAAAAATTAATAAGAAGGGGATCTCTGTGCATGGGCCATGTAACATGCTTCTTCCTGATGAATTGTACGTGTGTGTATGTATGTGTGTGTGTGTGTAGTTGTTCTGGAAGAGTGCCTCTTTTAATCATAGAGAGAAGAAGATGTTAGTGTTCGTGTGGATAACAATTTGCACTGAAAATGTTACACTGCGGGGGAAATTAGTTTTCTTAAATGGAACCTATTTTAGTTGTGATTATACCACAGCTACTTAGTTTTTAAAACTCCTGTTTTTATGCAGCAGACAAATGTGCACCATTTTACCAAAAAGAAAGGGATAATAAAAGACCCAAATGCATAAAAACAAAACTATTGTGTGCATTGATATTTGAACTAAGAAAGAGGTAATTTATATTTCGTATTGTTTGCATTAATGCTCTTGCATTGATGTAATCTGATTACTGATCAGCAGTGTCTTTATAAGAGAGTGGACACCACAGTTTCTTTCTGTCCCAGATGCGATTTGACAGAGGAGTATGTTCCCTGACTGTGGTAATAAGCATTGAAAGACATTAACTCAAATGTTTAAAGAAGTTAAAATTAACACACTGCCTTTTCTAAATCTGGTCACGTTTTTTAGTTGAACTGCAAACTGCAGCTTTGTTTGAAATAGTAATTTATGCCATCATCATAACATCCCCCCCAAAAAAGAAAATATTGGGCTGTACTGCAGTCCAGTTTAGGGTTGGTTTTCAACAATATTGCCAATAAATCAGATTTTTGTGTTTTGGAGGGCCAAAGAGTGCACACATATGCATGGGATATACTTTTACCTGAAATTGCATGGTCTCATTACAAACAGCTCTTGCATTTGAAGCAAACATACCTTGATCACTTGTGAGATGAGAGAAATAAGGAAAGTGGCATTATCTTTTATTAAAAGCTGGTCCAGACACCTCTCAGCAAAGTACATACGCTGGCGGATCTCAACCCCAACAGCAAATGACAGTCAAATACCATCCCTACTGCGTGATGAGCTATGTTGGAGAAGTCAGAAATCACTGCCACTGTTACAATACTCATCAGGAAGGAAATGAGAGAAAAGCTTGCTCTTTGTTAGCCCAAAACACCTAAAGACATGATCTAGAAATCTGCTAAACTGAAAATCACATGAGCCAAAATACAATATGGATAAATAGAAAAGGAAAGCGTAATAAATAAAGCTTCTCTTGAATGATAAAAACATGGATTCTAATCATAAGACTTAAGGCTCATTTGGGACCTGAGGATTTTATACATATGCGCCATAGTTACACACTCACCATGGATGAGGCAGCAAGGTAAGACAGTGATTATCAACACAGTTCAGCTTTTTACAATGGGAGCCAGACAGGGGGGGTACAGACTGCCTTTTGGTAAGCTAGAGCAGGAGGAGCCGAACCTTGTTGATGTCGTACCTTTGGTTCCACTCAGTTTTATGTAAAAATGCAAAATGAAGAATGAAGTTCCGGCAAAGTTGGAAAGGTCCCAAATTCTGGTTTGTCACAAAGCAATGAAGACTAGCATACGTTTTTTTTTTTTCAATCTTTTTCTTTTTTTTTGACAGAGCAATTAAAAAAACAAAACAATATAGCTCTTCCTGTTTTGAAAGCAAGCTTAAACAAAACTTCTTTCACATAAGGATTTAATTAATTTAAGTCTTCCATTTTCAGTTATGTTAAAATCCAATCACCGACGAAAAATGCTGAAGTAGATGCCGTACATATTTCACACCCTATGAACAGAACCCAAACAGCCCCGTTGAGGAGACATATTCATGTCCTAGAGTATCCTCCGAGGTGAAAACCACGAGAGAGTATCCACGGGTCAAGAAGGTAGCAAGAAAAAAATAAAGTTTTTTTCTTTTAAGAAACTGCAGTCTGTCGGGTCACAGCGTCTTTTCAGGTCTGTAAAAGCAACTTCTGAAAGAGCCAGTTCCTTTCAGCAACCGCTTAAGAAAGGTAGGGGAAAGGCATTTTCCTCACAAAAACACTCTTTGTGGAGAGAAGAGGAAAGACACAGTAGGGAAAGGAGCAGGTTGAAATGTGGCCATTGGCCTTGTGTTGTCTTTGACCTGCTGTTTTCCTCTGAATAAGCAGCTGTAATGCCTGCATGTTTGTCATAGTATCACTCTGGCTGTGAAGATTAAGGCTGAAAAGGAGACCCAAGCAATTGCCCCGGAGGCCGAGGCTGCTCCCGTCGCCGTGGAGCCTGAAAAAAACAATCAAATGAAATTCAATAGAATTTTTATACAGCTATTTCTAATTTGTGATCTGATCCTGGAATTTGCGCAAAAATGTCTTTCATCTTTAAACGGACATGGGACTTTGACACAGTACATAAAAAGCTAATCAAACACAAATATTTTCTGCATGGTATGAATACATGTATGTGTCAATAGATGGCAGTAGTGCAACTCGCTTTGTGGCGTTTTAAGAGCCGCATGAGTGAAATAGCCAAGCCACTAACATATTTTTATATGAGGTAATGTCCACTTTTAAGTACCCATCTTCTGGCAATTTTCTGTCCATGTCAGAGGCCATTTTCTTGTTTGATTATTGGTATCCTCCCCAGTTCGTGGATAAGACTGTATTGACAGCTACGGTAGGAGCAAAATGTCCCTTATGAAAGTAAACAATAAGTTCCATTTAATAGTTGAAATAGCTAATACAGGAATCTGAGATTGGGTAACTATTACATGCAGTTGCTGAATTTGTCATATTTAGTCTTTAAGTTAATTTCACTTCATGTGGTTTACATAAATGCAATAAATGCTTTGTCTGAGGCACAAAGAAACTTAAGTAGACAAGACTGTTCAATGTGATATAAGCACAAATTAAGCTTTTAAAATGAAATAGTTAAGAGATATCTGCAGTAATAGCTCATAACCCCCCCCCCCACCCACAGTCTTTACTGGGTAAAGACTGTATCTCACCTTCGATCTTGGGGATGGTTATCTGACGGCTGCTGATGCCTTCCCCGCCCTCACTGAAGGGTTTGATCTGGATCACATAGTCTTGGTTGACTGGCAGAGACAACTCCAAGGAGGTGTTGTTGGTCTCGACCACACTGGGGCGACTGTGTTTGTCCTTGCTGTACATCACCTGTGCAGGAAACACAGTGTGAACAACTCCGTTACGGCATCAAGTCACATCAAACAAAATGCGCGATACAAGTGGACTTCTTGCCTTACGCAATGAAAAGAAAATACAAGTCTGAGTTTCAACTTCACGAGATGGAATGAGCTGTCTCTGAAACTAACAAGGATGGACGTTATGGTGTAGATTTCTGCACACGACCGTGATAAATCACCAGTGGAACTGATGTGGCAGAGGAAAGGGTATGGATCCATCAGCCCTGACTCCTCCGCTCGAGTTGGGCTATGGAAGTATCTATAAACCCACTAAACTGTGTTTTTAATGTAGTGGGAATAAGGTGCAATACCTGCAAGTGATTGGAATACATATGTTGAGATTGTAACATGATAAGCAGAAAATTCATGAATTATTTATCATCAAATATAAGCCTTATAATACTTTGTGTTTTATGGGCAAAATGGCTTTTCAAAAACAATAAAGCACTTGAAGGTTTTCCCAGAACAAATGATTAGAACACAATAAATTAAAGTGGTATTTTGTATTTGCCAAATGTCAATTTAGCACGATTTATATGCACAACGCATTTCAGTAAAATAATATATAAACCTGATTGAGCATTTCTTCATTGCATTTGTGGCATAATGATGTCTAATAAAAATACATTTTGACAGCCCGTATTCCATATGTGAAGTAACAAAGGAACCAAAAAAGAAAAACTGCCTGGAATGGAGCCTGGGAATATCAGAAAGCTATCTTTTGAAACATTACATTAGCTGTCTTTTAACATAGAAAAACAAAGTCAAGTGGAAAAGTCAATGGTGTCTGGGCAAAGGGCGAGCAGCTGCAGCCATGCAAGAGGTAGAAATAGAGGTGGAGCTAATTTGCATTTTCGCACAAATCAAACGAGGCAAAGGTGTAGAGTTGCATCTAAAGCACCTCCAGGTATGACAGGATATATATTTATGGTGGAATTGCTGAAAGTACAAGGCTCACCAAGAGATGAAATGTGGATTGGAGTTATAAAGGTATTTGTATTTAAAGACAATGAGACACTTTGTTTATCTTGTGAGGCAGCTAGATTATTTTTAATTATGGAAGATCAAATCCCCGAGAGTATCCTTCTTGCCATGCTAGCCAAGTGTTTGTTTTTAGAGAAAATACACCAGCTCTGTTTGATTAGCACTTTATAATTTAAACTATAGGTGGAGTTCAGGTGAAAACAATCTTTTTTGAAATGATAATGAACATTTTCTGAATTTCAAACATTTCTAAATCCTCCTCAGAATATTTTCTGATTTTTCATATTTGACATGCACTGTGCTCAAATTCTCAAAGCTTAAAGAGTGTCATATTGATTTATCCTTTTAGGAGGCTCCTTACACATATGTAATATATATGATGACAGCAAAGACAAATGTCTTTATACATAATGCCCTTTGAACAAAGAAATAAATCGAAGCCTAAATGCATCCATCTTCTTTTGGTCATAATATGAACATGCTCCAGTTTAAAGTCACAAACATGTAATTATAGCATCAAATTTAATTTGAATAATTTCATGATTACATTAATAGCATTTTTAGAAAAATTCAATATTATTTCTGAGAAAATGTTACAAAAGTTTCCTGCTCATCACTTTTGGATGTTTAATCTTGGAGAGAGCAGGTTGAAAGTAATTCTAAAGAAGACTAGTGAGAGACAAACAAAAATAATTCAGATGAAAGGTCAAATTTTCGTTCTTTGATCGAGATTGCTGTGATAAACACTGAATATTTGTGAGCAAAACTTCCAGTACCTGCATTTTTTTAAACATTCTACAACAATGTGAAATACTGAAGTATTTGACTCCTGCTAACTTACTTTTTCAATTAGATAAAAAGAGGATTGGCACATGATAACATGATCACAGTTAAAACTGCAAAAAAAAAAAATGTTGGGGGATTCAACTGCACTGAATAAATAGCGGAGCAATCAGTCTGACACTTCCACAAGTGAAATGGATGTAATGTCAACTTTCAATCAGTGTGGCAATTAAAAAAGAGTGTGAAGGAAATTTGGATTAGTTTTAGTATGATAAACTGAAAATTGGTGAATCTATAAGATGCATAAGAGGAGGTGACATTTTTGAGAGAGTAAGTCATATACCGCACCCTGCCTGACATGCAGAAATCTGTTAAGTAAATGTCAGCGGGTTTGTTAGACACGTTGATTAAGTGTACTTAGTAATTATTCATCTTCATGGGAACCTTGATAAGTGTGAGAAAATATTTTATCGTACAACAAAGGAGATCAGGTTTCTTGCTACAATCTCTGATACAAAACTGACCATTTTTAACAAGATCTTAGACATAATTTTATCTGAATTGTTGGAGGAAACAGATATTTGGAAGCAGCGTTAATCATAATGATCAGCTAAATAATTATACAAAAAAGAAATGCAGAAAATAATTTACTCAAAACACCAATATTCCACTGTTTAAATATGTGTGCATGTTTTCCATTTTCTTGTTTTATGATAAAACACTTATCCTTCTTGTCACTCCAGCTTGAGCCAACATTTGTCCAGCTCATCTTTCTCGGTTCTGGCCTGTGGCCTCTCGCCAAATGGAGCTTCTTCCTGTCGCTCCATGGTGTCTATGCTTTCCTCTAAGCCCCTTACCAGAGTGTCATTGTTGTCCTTCTGTGTTCATAAGCAGCTTACAAAAGGTTCTTTATGATTCTTATATCTGTCTTGTTACTTAGTTTTAATGCCTCTTTGACAGAATAGTTCTCCCGTGTTGGACTGATCTTTCTGGATGACCTTTCTTCACTGTCAATGAAGCCTTTCCCTCTGGATGTCACTTGAAGTCCAATGTATTTCTCTGCACGTGGGTCAAGAAATGTTACATTCCTTGGTGGTATTTAAGGGATTCTTTAGGTCTCTAAAACGGTCCTGTAATCCGACCTTAAGTTCTGCATAACATTCTACAAAGGTGATACAATGAACTTTGTAAGACCCCAAAGGAATATTGTAGCTTGTTCCCCTAAAGGCTCTTGAAATTTTACTAAAGGTTCTGCAAATGTTACAAAACACAGACAAGTCCCCTAAATGTCCCTAGATTGTAAATGCAACGTAATATCACCACACACCAGAATGACTATAACTTGTTATATTCTGTGAGCAGTTCAGGGAACCACTGTTATGAGGAATTGCAATAATTGTTCCTGAGGCATTTCTCCCCCTGTATGTAACTAGACATTACACTATTGTACAATATTTAACAAGGCTTCATGCATTACCAACACGGAGGCTCATCCATAAAGTCAGAATGTTCCTGTATGTCTTGAGCAAACTGGCAAAAAGACAAAACAAAAGGAAGCTGAAAAAAATTGTGCTCTGCAATTCCATAATTCCGTTAGAATCGATTCGATTATTTACGTGTCAGCTTTGCAGCGCTCATAACTCAGAGGAGTCAACTCTCCAATATTTACCTTATAACCTGTGACTTCTGACTCATTCTCCAGGGCATGCACTTGGTCCCATCTCAGGATAACCTTGGAGTTGGAAGTGTTCCACATGATTTTTACTGGCGCTTGACTGGGGGCTGGAAGACAGCAAGTGTTGGACAAGATGAGCAGGGGGGACAAAACCATTTGATGGTGCAGTCAATAAACCATCCAGAACCAGCTCAGCATGAAGGAGATTTCTCATTATCAGTTTATCATCTCGCTGTTAGAAGTGAGAGATGACTCCACAAATTTGTGTGTGGGAGTGAGAACAGTCTTGTGTTAGATGCTTATTGTTGGGGGTGGACAGGGAAGTGATGAAAAGTCACAGAATAATTAATATTTTATCCTAACTATGTTTTTCACAGTTCGTATTATTCCCCTGTGCAAGTATAAAATACCTGAGATCTGACAAACAGGTCGTTCTTATTTCTCAGAGTATCAATGCAGATGCCAATTAGAGAGTACACAAAGTTTATCTGCTGCTTGCAAATCATAGAAATTGGAAAACACAGAGCTTTAAATGTTGTCAGATGGATCTCCTTGTCATGCAGTGTTATAATAAACTGAACTGTTGATCCCATGTCTGTGAAACAAAGTGTGATATGACATCAGTCGTGTTGATGTCAGGAAACAAAGCTATAGAAGGAGAAAAGAGAGAAAATTGCATAATTATAGAACTGGAGAAAGTGAGAACTGAGACATTTTGAGAAAAGACAAAGCTTATCTCAGCTATATACAGTAGACCTTGTTTAGACATGTCGTGAAACTGCTGATACTGACTTTGGTTTTGCTTCCCACTTTTATGAATGCGGCATCTTTTGAAACGAACATGGACTAAAATAGGAAATTTGAAAAAAAGAATAACAACTAAGGGAACAATTCATGTGGAGCAACAGAAGGGGATGTGAGTTTTTCTCTAGGCGGGGTCCTTACGTGGTTTCTTGGTTGTGACATTGACTGTGGCGCTCGGTGGCCCGACTCCGGCGCTGTTATACGCCCGTAGGGACAAGTAATAGGTACTGCTGCCCTGCAGATCCCTGATGAGCACTGACGTTTTATTCCCCACCGTCCTGATCACACTCGCTGTATCCTGATTTTCTTTCTCTCCCCAGTACCGCAGCTACAAAGATAGACAAAAAAAAAACAAAAAAAAACAAAAAGCAAAACAAGGTCAGTTCCATTTCTTATTATTTCTCCCACACTATACCAATCTGGGCATGGAACCTGTCAAAGGTTCATATGCTGTAATTTAAATGACTTAATAGTGCCACTAGCTGTTGACACTGTCCATTATATTTGTACATGTCAGAGTGTGTGGGCATGTGTTTGACCTCGTAGCCTAGGATACGTCTGCGGTTGTTGCTCCAGGACAGTGGCTTCCAGGTGACCTCTACCTCAAATGCGGATATGCTCCTGGCCCTGAGCCTCCCCGGAGCTCTGCTGGGCTCTGAGACACAAGCAGGATAGTCAGATAAATATGGATTCACTACACCCACATCGACTCCGCGATCCAGTTTGTCTATGACTTCATGCGAGGAAGTTTTCTCCGGAAAGCTTTACTTATGTGGTTTTGCATCTTTATGAATGTGAGAATCATGAACATGTGAATTGTGAGAATAATGTAAATGCTCTTATTAAAAAAAGTTTACTGTAAACAATCAACGACTCTTAATAACATTGAAGTCAGTGCCTCAACCCGTTCCATACAAACATGAATGTAAATATCGTTCCTGTTAAAAAGCAAAACTTTGATCACATGCGCACACCTATTGTGTACATTTGACACATGCTTCACGGCACATTGGTAGAATCTACACACCCTCCTCGGCTGAGTAGATTGTGGTTATGCGGCTGAAAGGGCCTTCTCCCTTGTTGTTGTAGACTCCAACTTTCACTTGGTACGGGGTGAAGGGAGGTATGCTCTCATTCTTGAAGACATATCTTGAAGCGTCGGGAGATGTGACAGCGGCCTGCATCCAGCCCTGCGTGCCGAGTGGGCGGAACGCCACCACATATCCAAAGCCAGGACCACTCTGCAGCTCCTCTGGGACAGGCTGGGAAGTATGAGACGATGCAGAGAGAATATACTCAAGAGATGCAAGCTTGACTGATTTTGAAGGTATTAATAACTTTACAGAAAATTTGGCTCAGCGGGGATTAGGTCAGTTAAAGAATAGTACTGTACATACAAGCTTTGCAAGAGCTTCTCATCTTGTCTGGCTCTGTATGTTTGTGCTAATGAGGTATAAAATAGAACGACCTAAACAGAGATGTAGAGATATTCCTCAAAGGTGCAAAAATAATGTTAGAAACTACGCAAACATTCACATCTAAATCAATATAACATTCCTGCTGCCTTTTAAACCGCCCACTATATCAACAGACGTATGTTGTACATTTTACAAACGTACCAAAAGTTTGTTTTATACAGTTTGTTGTGAATACCACTTACTTCCCAAGTGATGACCAACTCTGAACGTCCTCCACCACCACCATTCACCCTTGGAGGAGTCATCCTGGGAACTGACAGGTCAAACACTTTTGTTTATACAGAAGTCAGCACTTGGTACCGTAAATGTGAAGTATAGATTTTTCACAGTTATTGACAAATCTGTTTTACTGTTACTATTGAATCATGTTTCATTTATTTTTCTTGGACTAAAAAATTCAATAGAGTTTTTTTTTTTTAAAAGAGACTGAAAAACACACTATTTTTACAGTGTGCTCATCGCGCATGCACAGATATGATACATACGCATTTCTTTGGTGCGGGCTTTTTTGGAGGGCTTGCTGGGCTCTCCTGTTCCTATGGCGTTGGTTGCCAAAACTCTGAACTCATACTCCACCCAGGGACTCAAGTCAAAGACAGTAGCTGACAGCTGCTTCCCCCTTAGTCGTTCAGGAACTGGGAAACATCACACAAACAACCTTTCATTAAAACTAAGCAAGATCTGTCACTGACAGCTATCCGGAATGGTGATGTGCTATTTACTGTCACCTCATTAATGGGGCTTCAAAAGATACCAGTCAACCCCCTCCCCACATTCTTCTATTTTTTTTTATCTGTTCAGTAAACATATCACTCAAACAACCTACACAAAATCTCTCAGATCAAAGCGGCCTACCGGTGGTAACAGCCTGCCATCCGAGGGAAAAGGGCGTTCTGGCCTGGATGGTGTAGCTGAGGATGGGGCTGTGGTTGTCCATTGCAGGTCCCCAGGAAACAGAGGCAGAAGTCTCTGTCATCTCGGTAACCTGACAGTCCACAGGTGGGCCCGGAGGACCTGAAAGGATTAGTAGTTGCAGTACACTCCCAAAGAATGATAAACAGTGCTGAGATTGATACGGCAGAAGGGGCAGACACAGAGTGGGCGAGCCATGCTTAGAGCTGATGTAAGAGACAGATTAAGAAGAGGGCTTTAGGGTAGAAATTCCAACCAAACCAGGTCTTTTAAAAAAAGCAGACAAATAATAGAACAAATCTAAATGACAAAAAGATCTTAAAATTGCTGAAAAATTTGTCAATTTGGTGTCTTTTCAGTAATTTTCATACTGTTCTTGTGTTCTTTGTGTGCATGCATATATATACATACACACACACACATATATGTAGTGAGAGAGAGAGAGAGAGAGGGAGAGAGAGGGAGAGAGAGGGAGAGAGATTTAAGGCCTTCTACCTCTGATGACCACATCTGTGGCGATGGATACACTGTCCACCTTGGTCTGAACGGCACATGTGTATTTCCCAGCATGCCTCAGTTGAATATTCCGGATCATAATATCTCCAGCAGACCTCTTTTTGTGGAGAACAAAAATAACCAAAGCATAATATACTGATCATAGGCGGCATGTCAACGTTGAAACAGCAAAAGAAGTGAAAGAAACAAGAGTAAGGTCACGGTGATCTGAGTTACCATTGAGTTTATCCCATTAAGGTGGAGAAAGACTCAAGGCAAGCCCAGGGAGGCACCAAATTATTATGAGCTGCCTTTCATTATCATTTAAAAGGAAAGATCTTTGTGACAAGTTTAAAAGCCCTCTTAGTTCTGTCCCTCTTATTCTCCCTAATTCTATTTATTCCCATTCAATAACAAACACGTTATTAGCTTCAAACTTAAAAGTTATAACTGGCATTGAGTTGTGAAATTGATGGGGCTCTAAAAACAGTTTGATGTATGATCAGGGAGATTTTATGGAATTAAAAATTCAGGTGTTTCAACTTATACATCACTTGATACTCTTAACTGGCATTAAAATAATATAAATGGGTATATACATTTTATATGAATCAAGGCAAAAGTGTCTACAATCATCCATGGATGCTGATGTGCTGGGCTTTGATGTTAAATCTTTATGGATAAATGTGGTAGGTAAATCTTTTTGCTTTAGACGAATTTTAATTTTTTCCGAATTGACACTATGATTCTCATTATTCCTCATTAAGGGATCTTAGTAACACCAATGTAACACTTTCAGAAATAATTGACCCAACAGAAATCCAATAAGTGTGTCTGTTTTGGGGCAACAAAATGTTCTGTGCTGAGCAAAATATGAAGGTTATGTTGACAGTAATGCTGATTTACGGCAAATATCACTAATGCTGTGAAAACACAGTTCCCTCGCTATTGAGCGCCAGCTAAATTGATATTTTTACTAGATGAGGATTTGAGTGCTTGATTCTGCATTTTATTCTTCACACAATCAAGAGTAGTGGAGGTAATCATCATGAAACTGAATCTGAGAATAACGCGAGCCCATTACTCATTACTGGACCAGACCAGTTTATTGGCTTATATGCTATCATGAAGAAAGGAAAAAACAAAGGAAATAAATATTTGCAGGTAAACTATTTTTACCCACAAAAAAGAAAAAGACGTACAGTAATTATTATACTTTTCATGAGGAAGAGGAGATGTGTGTGTTTAATGAAAACACGCTTGGAAATTATTGGAACATTTTCAGCATTGAGTTATAAATAGAAATAATTAGAAAAACAATGATTAAACACGAGACATTTGCAATATTTACTGCTTGCATTCACAGAGGTACACCATCCTCTGAAGAATGCGCATTAAATGTATATGAGTCATCATGAACACGTATTCAATCTTCAGCCATAACAAAGTTTTAAAGAAATGAGACATTAACCGAGGTCAAATGGTTTTACTTCAACTCAAAAGGAAAGCAGTGCATTCTGTAATTGCCAATTGTAGTTAGCAATAAATGGTGAGGATTTAAAGAAATCTGTTTTTACTTTTATATTGTACCATTATGGTTACATGAAGGATTAAAGGACATTTTACATTCAATTGGCATGATTCCAGACATACCAGTTTTACCACATTAAAAATAAAATCTCCTTAAACAATTCAAAGAATGAAATAAACTACCATCTTATATTTTATTTCTTTAAGGTCTTCACCAGAAGCCAGAGGGATAAGAAAATATAAAAAAAACAACTTACCCCGCCGACTTTCTCAAAATAAGTCCCGTGGCTTCCGAAGTGGATGAGCTGCTCATTGAAGAACCAGGTAAACTTAAGATCAAGACTTGGATCATGTGAAACTTGACAGGGAAGGACAATGCTTTCCCCCACAGTCACATCTAGGTGACCAGCCGGACTGGTGATCACCGTCGGCTCTGTGAGACATAAATGAGGTAAAGTAGGTCATGTCAATTCAAGTCCCTCTCACACGAGACATTAACGACTTCATCAGCCTTCAGTCAATTTTCATTTGACTTCCTGAAGTTTCTTTCAGAAATATTTGTGAAAGAATCTAAATATGCCAACAGTGCTCCCAACTCAAATGAAAATGGGTACATCGACCACTAGACGTTGCAGAGTCATGGTTTCAACACAATCAGTGAATGGTAAGTGTTTTTGTTCTTCTATAGCAATAACATATTGCTATTAACATTGTTATAAACATACTGTTTTCTTCAGCCAAGCACACAGTCTCAATGCATTACTGCTGTTTGTCAGGGGAGAAACTGAACCATCCCATAAAAATCACAGACTTACTTCCGTTTCCTGAATAAATATACGAATGTATCATTCGAATCAAGTCAACAAAACAGGTACTGTGAGAAACAATAAGGCCTTAAAGTCTACAGGTACTTATGAAATATATTTGTATAGTTAAGCAGAGAGCAGAGGCTCTATGCATAGCTCAGACTCTTTGAAACTGTTCTCTCTAAATTGCCGGGCTCACGCTGTGAAAATAACAAAAAACTGAGGGCTGCAGCTTGTTATCGTAGGTAAAACTGCAGAAGCGGAACATTTGGTCAGTGCTGTTACATATTTCATTTAATGAAACATTATGATGAATTCCTCTCATCTGAGCTCACCACGGCTGTTTGTGTCTGTCCATTACAGCGACTGCAGCAGTTCAGTTCCACACCACGATAAAAGTGAAATGTGTACATTATTAGGTCCAACCATGTCAGAATGTTGTTTCACTGCTGTGAATGTGTGATATGCATGTGTAAAGGGGCTTTAATGACTTTCCGTTTTTAGAGTGTGTATACCATCATTCTGACAATTCACCTATGTTATATGTCCCTTCTCAGAGACAAAATGTTGTTGTTTTTTTTTTCTATATCATGAAATTGACAAAGACAAAACACATTTGATATTTAGAAACAAATCCTGTACCACAGAAAACAAATGAGTTCTGACTTCTAGGCAGTGGCCGGATGTTACATCTTCTCCTTTGAGCCTCACAACAGCACGGCGCTAGATATCACATTACAGCTGAAACAAATCCAGCAGCACCGCAGCAGATCAGTTCCTAGGTCTATAATTTGTTTGCTTGTGTGAGACAAAAGGCCAACCAATTTCATCCCCCTGTGCGGTGTGCATCTAAATAATCTTTGTCATCTTTGCTGGACGTCTCCCTCAACAATAGGGCTGTGTGAAGAATTCATCTCAGGCTGAGAAGACCAGTACACTGTGAATTATGCATGCATGTCATAAGCATCTAATGGACAGGCAAGCCAATGCAGTATGTCAGGGGGAGTAAAGGTCTATATTCAGCTCTGTCAAAACAAGCCAGCTTGTTTATCTGCGCCCCCCCCAAAGAAAAAAACGACTGGCCTTGGCATTTCCTTTTACGAAGTTTGGGACTAGTTGTGAAATAAGGGTGGTAAAACTTTCTGCCTACGGATGACTGCAAAGCTCAAGCTCAGCTCCCATCGACTGGAGGAAAATTCACAAATAAGCGTTCAGATTTTGGGCAATATATAAAGGAGATGGGGACTCATTTTCTTTGCATGTGGAACTAGTCATTTGCACATATGTGAGGTGCTATCAATGCTGTAGAGCACGTAATAGGAGAACATGCTTCCTATCACAGCATCATGTATCAGAGTGCAATCAGATATTTCACAGAGTAAAACATTTGGTTGTCACGAAGCACAAAGTAATGCATCTATTCAGTATTTAGATGTTTAATGGGAAGATAAATTGCTTAAACAGTGATAAAAAGATTTCATATAAATGTTCTTTATAAGTGCTTTGGCCATCTAAATGTAGGTGAGCTGTCGTGCTTCTTGTCAATAATAATAATCCAATAAAAAATCATATAAAGTAGCTGTTGGCATATGATGATGACTAAATTAAACCTATAGTAACTCACAATATTTAAGGACTTACTGTACAAGCATTTATTTTTGGAGAATAAATCGATTTATTCACAACCACCCTGTCAATAACCTTCACATATTCTTAAACATACATACATATTATTAGAATACCATGTTGGAGCGACTGTGCCTATCAAGAGACTAAAAAGCAAGAAAAAAATAGTCTCTTATATAAACTAATTTACAACGAAAAATGTGTGAAAAGTAATGACTAAAAGGCATTTTAATAGAGCAGTGTTGTTGACTGTTCTTTGGAACAGCCTTGAAAATTCCTTGCACTGCAGAGAGGTGTGATTTAGATTTATTCAAATTTTAAACAAAGCCAGGATGCTATGAAATATTACACAAGAGCTTAGGAATGAATCACCACAGGAAGGCAATTGTCATCATGTTTCAATTTCAGGACCCGTTGTCGATCGAGAAACATCTTATCTGCTTCATAGTCTCAGACAAATAATGAAATATGACGAGTTTATCTTGTTGATATCATTTTCAAAGGAAATTGTAATTTTTCTTTGTTCAATTACAATAGTGCATCTAGCTCATGCACATGCATCAATATGTAGAGCTCAATAAAACAGAGGTTGTAAGATGAAGTGTATAATTTGGTCCCCTCTGAATGATCAACACCGAAGACAATAATGCTAAACAGCGAGGGACAGTCAGATGTCAGGAACCATGCTGTGGTTATTTGACATTCATTTTGAGATTTGCTATCAAATATAATAAAGGTTTTTACACCAATTTATGAATCTCAACAGGGTGTAAGAGATGGAACTGTATAGAAAACAGGCAGTTTCCATTGGAACATTCAGTTATAATTGTGAAGAAACGGGTTACTGATAAAAGACTACTAATGATGGTAGGCTTCTAATGACGGGGGTTTCTGTGGCTTGGCTCGGTTCATCTTTACACAAAGTTGGCTTGTGAATTACATAGACAGATGTTGCCTTCTGTGACTTGCGACTATGTTTTTGAAGCACGACTGCCCTTTTCCAGAGGTTGATATGGTGGATTTTCAAGATTTCTTGTTTTGTCAACGAAACCAGCTAGTTTAAAAAAAAAAAAAGGATACTGGACAACACTTTTGACTGCTGACCCTGACGAAAATGTAACAACAGTGAGGGATTGTCACTTTTTCACCAAACAGGGACAGCTGTAACCCTAACCTGAACCTCTGATGCTATGCTTTCATCCCCATTTCCCTTGGCAGGGACCTAAGTCCTTTCGGCTGAAAAGCATGAATAGATTGGAGCCAAGAGCTAACTGGTTGTCACACTGACCTTAACCTGAGCGAATGAAAAAAAAGACGTTTTTTCCATGGTAGTTTAGACATAGAAGTGAGGCATCAGTGCAATGGAAACAGATGGAGTTTAATAACCTCCTCAAGGAGGCTCAAGTGGGAGCAGATTTATGCAGGAAACATTTTTTTATCAAACATACACCTCCAAATATAAGTCTGAATAGATGACATGTTTACTTGCAACATATTTTTGTCTTAAGTGTTAATCTTGTAGCCATGCTTATGACTATTTTTGACGTGCACTTTGTTGTCCTCATCCCCTGCCTTAACCTGCCATGATGTACTGAGATATTGAGCTTCAAAACTTTTGTTTCCAAAGCATTCTGCTTTGTAGTACATAACATGTTTCTTTTTCTTTTCAAAAAGATGCTTTTACCATTTAATGAATAAATAAAAGGTGTGTGATCTATGCAGCAAAGAGAAAATGCCATCTGAGGAAGTGATAAAGGGAGAAAAGCACAGAAAACAAATGTGATGTGGTGACATATTCCAGACTTTTATTTTAATGCTCTGTGTAATTGCCTGAAATACGACTATTTATCTATCTCTAGATAGATAGATAGATAGATAGATAGATAGATAGATAGATAGATAG